GCGGGAAGGCTTGGACAAATATGTGTTGGTGTTCCTTGATGACATCCTGATATACAGCAGAACCAAGGAGGAACACCTACGACATATCAGGGAAGTTCTGAGTAGACTTCGGTCGGAGAAGCTGTTTGGAAGGTTGAAGAAATGCGACTTCTTCAGAACCGAAGTCGAATATCTGGGCTTCGACGTGGGAGCTGAGGGGATCAAGCCCTCATTGTCGAAGGTCAGAGCAATTTTGGATTGGCCGACACCAACAAATGTCACTGATGTCCGGTCATTTTTGGGGCTGTGCAGTTTTTATCGCAGATTCATACGGTGGTTCAGCGAGCTGGCAGCACCCATGACGGACCTCACCAAAAAGGACAGGACCTTTGTCTGGAACGATGAAGCAGAGAAATCATTCAACCGGTTGAAGACAGCAATGGTGACTGCTCCAGTGTTGCAGTTACCGGATTTCGAGCGGGAATTTGTGGTCACAACGGATGCGTCAGAAGTATCCGTCGGAGGTATCCTGCAACAGGATTTTGGCAACGGGCTGCAACCCGTTTGCTATGAAAGCAGGAAGCTCAACCCCGCAGAAACCCGGTACAGTGCATACGAAAGGGAATTTCTGGGCATCACCTGGGCTGTTGGGAAATGGCGGCATTATTTGGCCAGCCGCCACTTCATCGTCCAGACAGATCATGACTCTTTGAAAAACCTGCCCAACCAACCTGCTGTCAACAGGCGGTTTTGGAAATGGGTGCAGGTATTGCAGGGATACGATTGTGACATTGTCCATATCCCAGGAAAGGACAACCCTGCAGACTTCCTCACGCGCAGGAGTATTCAGGAATTGCGCAGTATGGCGGATGTGCGTGCGGAAGAGGAGTCATTGGTCCAACGTCTTAAGTTGAATGAAGGTGACAAGGGGGAGAACGAAATACAAAAGAAACTCGATGAAATTTTTAAGAAGTCGAGAACTGGGGAAGCAGTGGTGGCTGCAGGTGGGGGAGATCATTCACTTCATTCTTTACATTTTTTGTTGGTGACCAATGCCCGTGTCACACTGGAGGAGAGCTTGAGGGACTCCATTAAAAAGGGCTATCAAGAAGACAGCAGATGGGCAGAAGTGATGGAACAGTTGGAATCTGCCCAAGGACGTGTCACCAGGATCGGGAATCGTGATTACCGGCTGAGTCATGGATTACTGGAGATTAAAGTGAAAGACAACTCAGAGGACAGGCGACCTTGGAGGTTGGTGGTGCCTGATGTGGAGGATGCCCGCAGAAGGATTATGGAGGAGATACATGCAGTACCATATGCGGGTCATCTGGGCTACCACAAGACACTTAAGAAGTTACAGCAAAACTTCTACTGGCCAGACCACACAGTGGATGTGAGAGATTATGTGTTGGGATGTGAGGTCTGCCAGTCTGAGAAGAGTGTTCACAAGGTGCCGGCTGGACTACTGCAGCCTTTACAACTTCCAGAGGAGAAATGGAACGACATCAGCTTGGACTTCATCATGGGTCTACCGGTTAGTGAGAGGAGCAACGACGGGATCCTGACAGTTGTAGACCGGGCAACGAAGATGGTACACCTGGTACCAATTCAGCAGACCATCACAGCTGCTGAAACTGCCCGTGTCTACTGGGACAACATAGGGAAACTACACGGGATCCCCAGGTCAATTGTCAGTGACCGTGACCCAAGATTTGTGTCCAAGTTCTGGCAAGAATTCTGGAAGATATTGGGGAGTAAGCTGCGGATGTCCAGTGCCCACCACCCTCAGACAGATGGTCAAACGGAGGCAGCAAATAGGGTGGTGGAGCAAGTCCTCCGATGCACAATCCATGCGAGTCAGGACATCACACACTGGGAGCGTTATCTGCCCATGGTGGAATTCGTGATGAACAGCAGCGCATCACCAGCTACGGGGCATACACCGTTCTACCTCAACTATGGGTTTGAACCAGTGACCCCATTGGACTTGATACGAGACGTCGACCAGACAAACCTTGAAGGGGTTGATGTTTTCGTTAAACGTATGAAGAAGACGTTCAAGCTGGCAATGCAGATGGTTCAACAGGCACAACAGAGACAGAAACGCCAGGCCGACCAACGGCGACGTGATCAGCGCTTTCACAGTGGGGAACAGGTGCTGTTGAGCACAGAACATCTACAATTGAAGAATGCACCTGTTCGCAAACTTAAGAGGCGATTCGTGGGTCCCTTTGCTGTGGTCCGTCCGGTGGGACCAGTGGCCTACGAATTGGAGCTGCCTAAAGGGTGGAAGATTCACAATGTCTTCCATACGAGTTTGCTTCGACCATTCAGAACGTCCAAATGGTCATCCCCACAGGAAGATGAAGATGCTGAGATTGAAGTTGAAGCTGATGAACCATACGACGTGGAGAAGCTGCTGCGTTGGAGATGGGCAGGCCCCAGTGGCAGGAGGCACAAGGAATTTTTGGTGTTATGGACTGGGTGGAGCTTGGAAGATGCCTCCTGGATACCGGCAGGAAATTTCACCTATGCGAGAGAGCTGCAGAAGATGATCAAGAGGGACAAGCCCAAGGAAGTCACTAGTATGGGATAGTGATGCTTTCGAGGGCGAAAGCTACCCCAAGGGGAGAGTACTGTTGTGGAGCTACTTGGGGGCAGGCAGTTAATGGCGTTTTCCGCAGTTATATTACGTAATCTCGCTGAGTCATCCTTCTCTACGGTTTTATTATGACTTCCTGGTTCCAATGCTTTGTTCAGCACTCAATTCGGTGGAGTTTGGAGGAAGATACGGCCTCTTGAAGACGTAGTACTTTGAGGCCGGGTGCTGGGTGGGGATGTTTGGAATTAGAGCTAGATTAGGGTGATTATAGGTGACCGGGGGCGCTGGGACATGGTCCGTACATTACACTGAGCTGTCCTGTCTGATGTGATGCGATGGACCCGTGACCGGGCATCGCGCAGGTACATTGGATGCGCGCCGCGTGCGTCAGACTGTAACCAAATCCGGGCCCCTCTCTGTCCCGCCGCGAGGCAGCGAACCGCCGAACGCCGCCGTGACTCCACCGCCTGCACACGGCAGGCTTCGGGGAAGGTCCCCGAGCGTCCAAGGGCCCACCGCGCTACCGAACAACCGAGCACCCCGACAACGCCCGCCGCAATCCGGCGGAGAGGTGCGGCATCGAGGCCGCGCCATCGGGTGCGGCGACCGCCCCCCAACTCCGGAAACCAGCGGCCGCCCGCGGGCCGCGACAGCTGAGCGTGGGTCGTCAATGCCACGCGTGTCGGGGCGGTGAATAGCAGCACGGTTGACAACCCACGGCCTCACGAATCCATCCTCTTGGTTTTAGTCATCTAGCAGCTCCGTCGGCTCAAGGGCCAGGTCCTTACCTATATAACATGCTCTGAACCCGACCTGGAATGGGCCGGACGAGCGTTTCTAAAGTCCACGTCAGAATTGTGACCAGGGGGTTACGTGAGGAATGGAGGTACAATAGTGTCTTTATATAGCGGCCCCCCAATAGTGCCCTTTTTTTGGCTTGTCACCATTTCTGCAGTACTCTATGCAGCTTTGCTGCGCAGTGGGACCTGTACCCCCTACACAGGCGACCAGGGTACCCCTACACTGGTGGCTATGGTACCCCTACACAGGTAGCTATGGTACCCCTACACTGGTAGCTATGGTACCCCTACATCGGTGGCCAGGGTACCCCCTTCACTGGCGGCCGTTGCGCCACCTACATTGGTGGCCATGGTACCCCCTACACCGGCAGCTTAGGGTACTCCCTACACCGACGGCCAGGGTACCCTTCACACCGGCTACTGTGGGTACCCTGCTTAGCTCCCCCTGCCCCCAATAGCGCCCACCTTTCGGCCATGTCATGGGGGCGCTATAGTGGTACCCCTACTGTACCCGACTCAGATGCTGTTTGCGCGTGGTGCCCCCGCTGGCCTTCGAGGCGCACTTTCCCGAAGTGATCCCGTGTCGTCGCGGTGGCAACGACGACCCATCTCCAGGACCGATGGCTACAAAGAATACAATTGAACATACTTTGAGATTGACTTATGGTAATATGAGCAACCGTCGCAAATTTGGGGTTCCTTCCATCCAGATGACTTGGACCAAGTCCGTGCCATTGAGAGGAACTAGGGCATTCACGGGGTTCTCTTGTTTCGTGGCAGTCCGAACTTCGCCCATTCGCTTGCCCAGAACTCCCCAATTCTGCATTTCACAACGTGCGCTTGTGTCTGTCAGCCCCGCTCCTGAGTTGGGACCGGCCAGTGGGTCTCTTGCGAGTGGTGCTGAAGGGGGACTCCAGGGTTTGGGGGAAGCCACATCAGAGTCGACCACGCTCGATCCGCATAAAGCATGCTCGGGGCCGCAAACAACAAAGCCCACGTCGTGGCTCCCACACCGACCCATCCACCCGGGCCTAAGTTGCCGAAAACAGGGCACTCGCAAAACTGGTGGCCAGCTGCAACTGGCCATATAGCAGAGTTATTCCATACAGTCACGTTCCAACTCTAAAGCACAGTGCATTTCAACATTCAGTACACCGTGCTGAGTCTGGCGTGCAGCCAAGCCGTTGACAGTTCTTAAGAATTCGAATCGCGCTCAAGTTACACATCGCTGCCTGAATTCAGCTATATGCAGCGGGCCCCCGCTGTCCCCGTCATTGATGTCTCGTCGTTCCCCTGAAGCCACTTGAATCAAGAGGCTTCTGCGCCAATGCAGTGCTGACCACGACACCAACAACCTAAAATGCTCCAAGGTGTGCGATGCGTAGCAGCCCATAGGACGAAGTCCCCCTGCTGGGAGTTGGCGCTTTCCCAAATGCTGCCCCCCTCCCTTAGAGCAGTGAAGTGACAGTTCAAAACTTGGCGCACAGAATTGCTTGCTCGAGACGGGGTCGCCCAATGGTGCGCCACCCTTCCCACACGACAGCCTCAACCGCCCAACCCCCGTGCTCCAATGTGCCCAATAAAATCAATGTGCTGAACAAAAAGGCCTGACAGAGCTAGGTGTGCCACAGGTGGTTCACCGACGGCAGCATGGCCAGCAGGCTCCCCTTGCGGGAGTACATTGCCAGCTCGCTCATCTCCATCTCTACGTGGCCTTCGCCGTTCCTTGCGGAGCTGTCTCTCAACAGCGCCGTCTGGGACATGGGCGTGGAATCCTCCCGATGAATGTACTCTCCTCCGCTGACCGCCCCATCGCGAAGGCGCACCAGCAGCATCCTCTCCTCTCGGAAATTCCTTGGTCGCAGGGGGTTCTTCTTGTGCAAGAAGCTTAGCATCTGGTTGTCCCAGATGTGAAATATGGCGATGGCTATGCTGAGCAGGAACGCCAACACAGCGACCGCCATCCTCTCCCCAAACTGGGTATCAGTCTCAGTGAGCACAGCCCGACCCACCCATATGTCCGCAACAGCCAGAGTTTCCGCCACAGCCCCTGGCTCGTTCCTGAATATCTCCCCCGCCAGGACATCCAGCTGTTCGGTCCTGTTCAGCAGGTCCCGAACAGTTGCCACGTCCGCTGTGTCCACAACCACCACCTCCTCAGTGTAATTCCTGGCTCGCAGTGAGCCCACCATCGACAAGAAAATTGGCGCTGTGAGCACCAGGATGCTGGCAAGCATCACGCTCGTCTTATACAGCTGCCAATTTTTCATCCGCCTGATCTTGTGGTAACAGAGGTCCCTGTACTCCTGGAAGGGTACCCTCCCTCTGGTGGCCAGCAGCAGTTTCTCGGCGACCTCGTCCCGCCACCGCCTCTCCTTGCGCCCCCGATCCAGCACAATCGTCAGGCGTACCTCAATGATCGTCGTTGCCAAGATGCCCAGCACCAGAGCAAGGAAGAAGGGCAGGGTGTCCTCCTGGGGCCGCTCTTGGCCCACCTTCCTGTCCAGCTCCGTCAGGAGGCTGCTGAATGCGCGCTCACTGATGTCCAGGTTGCGGGCGCCGATGTTGGGCTCGTCGCAGTTTGTGAGCCCACGGCCCTGCACCAGAGTGAAGGCGACGGCCTGTTCCTCTGAGGAGGAACCAATTGTCACAAACGTTTTCTGGATCACATCGCATGCCTGCTGCTGATCGGTCAGCTCCTCGAGCTCACCGCTGGCTCCCGGTTGCCACAGCCGAACCTGTGCAAAATGTGCAGTACCAAAATGAGTGCAATGGATAAAAGAATGATGTGATTTCTGGTCATACACCACTTTGGGTTCCTGCGATTAGCAAGCGCTGTCCCGTCAGCACAAGTCCACTCTGCCTGGGAGGACAAGGGAGCAGGCGCACCTGCAAGTCCTCGATGTCCCACGCAGCATTCCTCGTCAGCTGCCTGCGCAGAATCAGCTCACCACCCTCTGCTGGGCTGGCCTCCCAGAACACATCGATGTGTGTTGTGTTCTCACCGCTGGGCAGCCCAAGGAACCTGGTCACACCCAGCCAAGTCTGTGGTATGGTTTCGCCACAATCCAGTTCCAGCAGCCTCGCCTCCCTCTGCACCCTCCCTTCAGCCATCATCTCAAGGTCTCTCTTCAGCCGCTCCTCCTCTTCCCTGCGCTTACGGCCGTCCTGCTCTGTGTTCTCCTCCACCAAGGCAAGGTTATCCACATTTCCTAAGGTGGCCAGGTAGAAGCATGATAGGAACTCCGGCGGAGCCTGCTCACTCCCAAAGGTCTCGAATCGGTCTCGTGCTGAAAATGTGGCCGCCAGAGGCTCACACGTTTCCTTAACATCCAACTCGGTGGCTGGCGGGGGGGACAAAGACACCCTGCGGGTGTTGGCAACAGCCACTCCATCGCCATCCTTGTCATCCCCCGTCACACAAAGCGTGTTCATCATTTGCCATTTTATCTTGTCTCCCAAGGTGTTGGTGCTGCTGCCCAGCAGCAGGCCTCGGGAGCTCGGGTACAGCAAGTTCCAGTACCCCCCATCGTCCATCAGGGTGCTGATCGACTCGCCAATCTGCAGGCGACCTGCCCCCAGTGCAACAAAGTCCTTTTTCCGTGTGGTGAGGTCCAGTCTCTGGGCCTGCAGCAGCTGCACACTGTTCATGATGGGCGCCAGGTCGGCCGCTCCTGTGGGGTACGTGACTCGCACCACTGTTGATGCAAAAGTCAGCAACAAAATGCCTGTAAAGGTGCCCGTAAAGGAATTTCTCAGGGCACCCCTCACGCACTCCATTCCCAATCCAACCAGGGCAGAGAATGCCCATCCTGAACAGGAGCCCAGGGTAGCTCGTTTCCCCATCTTCGTGCCGCCCAAATTCGGCCGAGCAGGTGAGTATTGTCGATCAGGCTCCTCAGCTGTTCCCGTGTGTCTGGGCCCATGTGAGAGATCCTCTGTTGAAACCGCCTCGTCCATTTCCACACAACCAGCAACAATCGTGGGCTGCCCAGCTGGGCGGCAATTGTCATTTGACTGTTTATTCATTTCTGAAAGAGGACGTGATGCTTCATCTGCTGTGCTGTAGCAGACAACACCAATGTCATGGCTCTCTCCTGTGCTTTTGCTCAACACCTGCATGCAGCCAAGCAGAGCCCTGTTCAATGGTCACACAAATGCCAGCGCTGTTTGCCTTGCTGTCCCCCAGCACTCTTGTTTCTGCTCATTGTGAGCCTCACTGTGAGCGGGTTTCAAACACTTCAGCATCTTTGTGGCGACCACTTGCCTGGCAAGGAACAGGTGTGAATACAGCAGTCGTTCACTCATTGAGAAGGTTGATCCAGAATGAAGAGAAGTCTACCCACCGCAATAAATAAGTGACAAGCATTGCGGAATTCTATTCATCCCCACAGATTCACAACTTCTGTGACAGCAAGGCCAAATTCTTCCCTCTCACAGACTGTGTGTGGGCGGGCTCTACACACCCTTAGATTTTCCAGTGCCCAAGATCAGCAGTTCGAGAGCAAGCCACTGCATGCCGTGCATGGCAAGGTTCCCTGCAAGTACTGCCCGCTTGGCTTCAAGGCGTTGCTCCAGGCTTTCATCAAAGCACAAGTGGGGAGTTCGGGTGTACCGGCGGCGATCGCAGCGATCGACTTTCCGCAGACTGGCCGTTTCGCCTGCTGACGCGGTCCCTGGTGAACGCGGGCTGTCGAGCAATTCGCACACCGCGAATACCTCAGTGAGAGCAGTGCACAGCACAGAACAACCCATGCTGCTGCGCTGGGAGACTAGTGCCCCATTTCCAACGTGAGCAGGAGCGTCCCACGCAATCATATTGACTTGGGCCGTGCCCTCCCACCCTTTCTTCCTTTCTAACAAAAGGGCAGTCTCCCGTCGTCCGCTCGGCCAACGCCCCCCACCCCATCCCACCGCCACAAATCGCCCCCTTTGCAAAACCAAGCACCACGCAGGCGACCTGCGCAATCCCACCTACCCACCTTCGTCGACGTTATTGTTCCAAACTTTGGGAACAGCCGCTCGAGGCCCTCGTTGTTGAATGAGGGGCCGACGTTCTCGACGCACAGGATCCGCCCGCTCGGCACCCCGGGTTGCTCCCTGCGCGTGCACCTCCAGCTCCTGCCAGCGCGAACGTCAAAGTGTGTCATGCCATGACATGCGACAATCCCGCGCAACACCCGTAGCGCAGGGTACAAGGGACCGCCAAGGCACGTTCGCGCGCCGCCAAGTTGCTCGGGCTCTGCTTGGCCTTCCCGGGACGGATGGAAAAGCGTCTACGGGAAGGATATACTACCTTCAACTTCGGGTGGCACGATACTCACTCCCCCATCGGTGACGGCAGAATTATCAGCATCAGGACACCAAAGCGTTTTCGAACGCCCAAGCGCCTGTGAGCTTCGCCGGTGACCCCCAAGAGGAAGCGGGGCACCCGGGAACTCAACTTGGGGTCGCACTCGCGGGCACATCTCCCTGACAGGGGTGTGACGATATTCACTGTCCCATCGCCGACATCAGAATGACCGACTTTCAGCCAACAGGCCGCTGCCGTGCGCGAAAGCACCGGCCGGTTTTGCCGGCGACCCTCGAGAGGAAGCAGGCGCCCGGAAACCCAACTTGGGACGCACTTGCGCACGCACCTGCCCACTAAACCGGTCCAGAGATCGCCATCAACCGCTCCATCTCCACGGCCCGTCACGGACGCATCCGCCGGCACACCAGAGGGCGTCCGTGGCGCCTCCAGAGATCCGCTCGACGGCGCCTTCGGGCATGTTGGCGCAGCAAACCCCGGATCGCACGCTTGGGGCTCGCCAGTATCCTGCAAACCACCAACAGCGGCCAAATCCGTTGCACAGGCGCGATCCAAAAAGCGATGAACGCGCGATGGCGGACAGTCCCTCGAGCGAGCGCCTCCGCACCGCCCCTCCCCCGTCGCCCAATCGAGCCCAGCTCGGCGGACCGACCCCGCAGAACTGGCAGGCCCATCGGTGTCCATGAGCGGCGAGGCACGATCGCGGGCAGCGGTCCTGCGCCACGGCCGACGGCCACGGCCGCCGCATGAATCAGGCCAGCTGATCCCGTGGACGGGAATCACCTTTCCGTGTGGGTGAGCGGGTTCCATTGCAGGAAGGGCAAGTGGGCTGGCCGCTGGAAGCGCCCAGCGCATCCGGCAGCGACCAAAGCCGTTCCGGGCAGGCGACCCTGCGGTCCGGGAACGCGCGGGCGGGGTGTCACAACACGCAGGCACCTAGGTGCCTCTGCGCAGGGGTCCCGTCCAGGACGGGACGGCGGGCCACCACCAACGCCGCCAAGGGTGTCACTGAGCGTTATGCGAGCACATCACGCCAATGTACCACGCGTACGAAAACACGAACGCACACGTGCTCGACTTCGTGAGCAAAACATCACAGGAAATAAGGCACCCACCCCCCACGTGTCCGAAGAAGAGTAACCCTCAGGGACGCCATGGAGAAGTTCACCGGCGCACCAGGCGGGCGGAAAGCACTAAGTGTATGGAATGTCAACGTGTTTGACCGCGTAAGCAGGCCGTCACAGGATGGTGAAGCTGCGAGGTGGCCGCGGCGCTCGCTGGCTGGTTGGGGGGCCATGGGGCCCCGCTGGGAGGACCAGGCCTCGGGCTCCTCCTTCTGTCTCCGCGGGCGGACGCGGAAGCCCATCCATGGATGTGCGTCCAGATCGGTGCGGCCGGGTTAATGCAGGACCGCCCTTTCTCGCGCGACGGCAGCCCAAATCCCGCACGCTTTGCGCCCCGCCCCTGCTGCGCGCCCAGCAGTGGGCACCGTCGAGCCAGCCACCCCCGCAGGAGGAAAGGAATCAGTTCCGAGGCCCAGCAGCCGCGACTGGCTTCCAAAAACCGCCCTCGAAGCTGACCATCGCGAGAATTCACGTGCGACGAGTCGACATGAATTGCGCACTGAAATTCTCCCATGGCGGCCATGCAGTCGCACACGGACCATGCTCCAGGACCCCTGACTGGGCGGGATAGTCCAGACCAGCCGCCATTCTATGGACCCCTACCTGCGGGCCTCCGCCACAACGTCGAGCGTCCAGTTTGGCACGAGAGGCCTGCGGGGTGCCATTCGCGGAGCGGTTTGGGGCAGGCTCGCAGCCGCCCGAGGCGGCGCTGCCCACGGGAGGCGCTGCCGCATGTCGGGCGCCCGCAGCCATGCACGCTCGCCAAAGGCCGCACCGACTGCGGTCGCGGCAACGGGTGAGACCCCGCGGAACGCGTTGCTGCGCCGCAAGCCCCGTCAGGTGACGCAAACGCGCAGCATATGAGGTGGTAAAGATTTAGCGGAGGTTGGAGCGTGGCGGCAAGCGTTTATGTGCCCAGGCACGGGGGCAGCGTCACACAGCAATCGAGAAGGGCCCCCGAAGTGCCGGTGACTGTTGGCGGCACGTGCCGGCTGTGTGACTGCTGCTCGTTTTGGGGTCGTTTAGGAGACGGTGCCATTCCTCGCAGGAATGTACAGAGCCGGGCCGGGCCACAGTCGGTCCAAGCCGCGTGGGTCGACTTCCTCCCGAGCCGCTGGCTTCAGGCAAGGTGCTCCCGCTGCTGACGTACTAGGCTGTGTACTGCATAGTAAGCAGCGCCACCTGGGGATAAGCGGCGTGACGAGCAAGGCATTAGCTCCCGGAGACGCTCGCCGCAGGAGATGCCCAGCGTCATTACTGGGGACAGAGCAGCCAAAAATTGCTGCACCAGTTCCGATCCGGCGTGAAGTCCTCTGTTCTTCAGCGGGGAAGCTGATGCTGTGCGAAGCTGCGAACCCTCTTGGCAACTGCTCGTTGTGCGGAAGGTGCCCGTGGGCGCACACTCCTGCGGGGCAGCCACAGGCAGCGCTGGCGGTCATATTTGCAAATGCAGCGCTCGTCAATTGGTGAGCGGTGGCGGTCACATTTTGTGAACGCTGGCGGCAGGACCATGGACCAGGCAGGGTCAGCCTGTTCGTGACGCCTCGCAATAATGGCCGTTGCAGGATCGCCTGTGGCTGAGGCGGGCGATATGCATTTTGCTGTGATCGAGCTATGCGCTGCACGGCAGGGTCCGGGTGGTCGGGCATTGCAGGCAATGTGCTGAACATGAAAAAGAAAACACTCTGGGAGCATGCCTAATCAATCATAGACAAGTAGTCAACCTGATCGTGAAGGCCCACTACACGACGGCTGTGCAGCGCCGTTGCTACTGTCGGAAGGTCCCTTTCCCCAGAGAACACCCAGCGGATTCTCTACTGTGGTGCTTGGCCTGAGAATCCAGGCAGGCGCAGTCAAAGCAACGCAGAACTCAGCAAACGAAAATGCGCGAAATCGTCCTACAGATGGCTCCGATTGGAAACATCCCCAATGGGTCACTCCTGCTGGAACGCAAACACAGTTCCGTGAAGTTTTGAGTCTTGAACCTACTGCGCCCGGCGTTCAGAAAGAAAACGATACTGTTACAACAACCCTGGGCGTCGAAGACGCCGTGTCACGGCTCCCCGTCCATGTTCCTCCACGTTAGTCACCACGACTGCCCGACTGACCCGTCGGGTAACGCACAAACGTTGACCCCCCGCCAAAGGCCCCTCTCCCAATGACACGTGGCGGTCAGGCGGCGCCACTGCAAAGCCCCCTTGGGAGCAGCCCTTCTGACGTCTTTGCGAAAGGGCGCGTCCTTCATGACGTCTCTGCAATGGGGGCGCCCTGAGCGGACGCAGCTGGGGTTGCCTGAGGGGCGTCGGCCCGCGGAGCTCCATCAGTCAATCGGCCAGCAGAGGGTTGTTCCCAAACAAGTCCAAGGCCCGCTTTCGCCTGCAAGGCTTTGGCAGCCGTCCTTTGGCTCAACATCAGCTCGACCAACACTCGCGCACAGACAGGACTCGATTTTCCTCCCACCACACGGGCTCGAAGCACGAGTTCCAATCGCCTCCATGGCGCTACCGCTCCCGCCAACGCCCTCAGCGCGCATGCGCAGGGAAGCGTGCCCCACCGCAAGCAACCAACACTTGGCCTCTCCACCGTTTTCCGCCGGGGACGCCCCTGTCCCCGCACACCTGTTCGCCGCCCCGCGAACAGCGTCTGCAATCGGGCACCAAAACGGGCCCGGGTGTCAGGGACAGCGCGCCGGGCCGCGCAGCTCACACTTCGTCCGCGCACGGCGACGACCTGCCCCCGTAGCACTTGTCACGGATCCACTTCGTCATCACCCACTTCTGGCCCCTGGACACCGGGCAGCCGCCGTGCAGCGACCGCCTCTCGAACGTGCCGTTGGTGCCGACCGAGTAGAACAGCAGCGCGTCGCCCATCCGCGGCTTGTACGCCAGGCCGATGCCGCAGTCCTTGTAGTCGATGCCCTGCAGGCGCTCGAGGCCATCGACGCCCTCCAAAGGCAGCACGGTCTCGCCGCCCTCCTCCACGTCCGAGAGGTAGACCAGCATCGTGGCCACCCGCATGCTGCTCTGCGGGCCGTAGCCCTCGGGGTCGAAGACGTCGTAGTGCGACTCGTAGCGCTGGTTTAGGACGTACCTTAGGACGTTGAAGGGCTGCGAGGCGAGACAGCATCGATCAGCGCAGTAGTCGTTTCGGTGGAGGTTGTCCCATAACTATCACTTCCGGATATGACGGTCATCAAGGGTCATCAATGTCATGAGGAGTACGAGGGCCCTGAGATCCCAAACCACTTAACACACCCAAAACACCTAAAGAGCTCTAAAAGCTTCCTAAAGCAATAAACCCAAGATCCGACAATGAACTTCGTGACCTTTATGACTTGCATGTCCAGAAATGATGGGCATCAGACATTTGTGTTTCGTTGGAGACGCATTTCTCTTACTGCAGGCCGTAAGCTTGCTAGTGGCTTGTGCGGCCTAAGCACCGAAACGAGCTCCACAGAGAATGCAGTATTGATACGAAGTCGAAAAGCATGAAGCTGGGAATATTTTTCGATCAATGCAGACGTTTTGGCATCGGGAGAAGGCAGGCGCCAGGTCTCTCTGGAAGGGCGAGGCCGTCAAGTGGTTTACATCTACGCGTTTCAATCCCCTGGGAAGGACTTTCGCTTTGGTTTCCTTGCCCTGGTTTCAGAGTAGACTGCACCCATGTTGTCATGTGCCATTTGGCACATCGGCTGTCATTCGACCATTCAACCAGAATGTTGAAAACATTTCAGCAGCATGCTTCCGATTTCTTTGGGTCTCACTCAAGGACTATCCTGTGACTTTTCAGCATTTGTTCCTAGGAGCTCACTCGTAGCCGGTGGCTTCTTAGTCTCCCTTTCCCTGTTTCGCAATTACGGGCGGTAGCCAAACTTGCCCGATGCACAATGTTGCCCTGCTCAATACCTTGACACGTTTCCAACAAGCAGAACCCACTTTCGGTGGATGCTTTTCAGCCACCCTCACCTATTGTTGCATCTTTCCCCCATGGAAGGGGCCGGTCTGCACATTAACATGACCATTGGTTCACTCTTGTGAACTTCTATACGCAGACAAGTGAGTGTCTATCTTTCCACCATCCTTTTTCCTTCAAAGAACCAAACTGTCTCAGGTGGGGAATGTTGACCCACTTAGGGAGTGAGATCCAGGGCTGTGGACGCATTAACAGACCCAGCAGCAGGGGACAAAAGTACAGCATGATTCATATAATATACGATTATGTATATGATAATATATGATTATATACATATGATATATCATATACTGTCGACATTCCTGCAGCCTGGCTGACAACCACCACCACATGCTCTTAGTCCAGCACAAGCGCATGACTCGGACACCGTGTTCTATCTAGGCACAAAACACAGTACAAGGAAAATTCGCCACTGTCTGGACTGTGAAGGTATTGTGAACTGATGGCAAGTTTTCCTCAAGCAGTGGCAATGTCACTCCAGTGCATCCCTGACCACCTACCTCCAGGAGAATGCACAAACACTGTGGACAGAACTGTTGACAGAATGTGGATGGACCATTCGCGAAGGTAAGGGCCGTGTCATGTCGGGTTTAGGCAAATGTGGCTGAACGAAACCGGATGTGCAGGTGTGTGATGAAAACTGCCAGCTCAACAGGCGAAATTACAGTAGGTTGTCAAAGTGCGGGGCACACAAGCTGCAAAGGTGTGGGACAACAGCTTCTGGCATTGATCAACAGCACTAAACGAATGTCAAATGTTTCTGAAAGCCCACATACCTCCCCGTTCTGCACCGGGAACATTGTGACCTGTGCGATGCGTTCCTCCACCCAAGCGAGCACCCCATCGGGGTCGTCCGCTGCATCCAGGAAGGTGCCTTGGCTGGTGCGCACGCTGTTGGGGTCAGCCCTGGTGTCTCCCTTGCGCATGGCCACCGTCGATGGTGCCAGCTTCCTCTCTGCCATGCGGATCACATGCTCACAGCGCTCCCGATCGATGAAGCTGGGGTACAGCACTGTGCGGGGATGCCAAGACAGGACCTGGTGGCCAGAGACTCGTTCCTTTCACTGCTGCTCCACTCCAATGACAATTACGAGTTCTGCAGATCACAGTAGTTGATGACACAAGGCACACAAAGCCCCTGAACCTTGAAGGTAACATTTGGCGAAGCAGCATCAAACACCAGGCTGCTCGTTGCCCAAACTTGTTGGACACTTGTTGCACATTTGATTGTACTGAGGGCAACCCATCCTCACGCGATTACACTTGTCACAACCTGACAAACTACATGCAGTTGGTGGGAAAATTGTGTACCCCACAATGTGACACCATACGCATCTCCTCACAGCACTTCTGTTAGGTGACAGATCACTGCTTTGGCGCCTATTGAGCTGATAGCAAGGAGGCATGTCAAGAGCATTGAGCATCACACTCCCAATTGCTGTTTTTGCGTTTGTGAGCCATTCTCTCTTGAGCTGTTCTTGAGTTTCTTTGGACAGGAATTTGCAACACTTTGATGCACTTTCTAAGTGAAGGTCTGCAGCAGATGCTTGCAAAGATGCAGAACACTGCCCTTGCAAATACAAGACAATGGTGTGCATTTGCAACTCTGCAAATGGCCAGGGCTTCTACATCGTCAGAAACACCGCACAGCAAGGAAACAGACTTGGACGCCAGGGAACGGCCAACGGGCATGCCTGGCATGTCAGGAGTTGCGATGGTCGAACCTCTTTCAGAATGTCCGCTGTGCGGTGCGTAGTGGGTCTCCCACAGCGCACCACAGCGTGCATGGGTGCAGTGCCACGTTGCTTTCTCGCTTTTACATAATTGTTGTTTGTTTGTTGAATCGCTACTATCGTCCACTGGATTTCACAAAAATTCGAACCTGAAAGGCACACTGTCTTTGTCCCATGCTGGCAAGCCACCAATCTGTCCGTAACCCACGCCCTAATAATTTTTCATTCAGGTCCTCAAGGCCTGTTTTCCTTCATTCCTTTGATTCTTTTCCAGACGGAAGCAGTATATCTTCGGTAAATCTGCTTAAATAGCACACAAGATAACCATCCACAATAACGTTCGATTCCATACTGCATGCAGTCAAATTGCACAACTTAACCGGCCGCAGCCCGCAAGCACACTGCTGCACCGTGTGAAATCGAACTGCTCGAGTTGCACCCAATGAGCGCACTTTTAGCTGGAGCCCCATTTCTGTGGCGTGCTAAATCAGGAGGTGGCACAAGGCAGCACATAAGAATGGGTGTCTGTGCAGACCATGCCAGTGGCCGCCTCAGGCTCATAGTTGTTGAGCCTGCCCTATGATCAAGTCAAGGATTCCTGCTGGATGCATCGAGGGGCTGCCCCCTTGTGATTCACAAGATGAACTTGGAGTTTGTCTCCTGTGACGACATACCTGAAATGGTGCCACAGTGTAGAAGTCATTGCCAGTCACCCCCGTGGCAACAATGGGCTTGGCATTCAGGAATCCTGAGGCCCGCAGCATGGCATCGAACTGGGAAGGGCCAGGAGTGGTTGGGTCACCAGGGACAGCAGTCCAATTCTCAGCTGGAGCTTGCTGCTGATCATACTTTGCACAGCCCACCACCTTGGCATCTGTTGCCAAACCCTGCAGCAGTGGTGATCAAATGTTTCACACCAAGAACCAAGAACAACGCATCGTCAAGACTTCACAGAGTGCCATGGAAAAGCACAACCTAACTGCACACACTGCCTGCTCCCTTTAGGTGGGAGACACTGTCCCAACATGGGGAGAAATTCCACACGATGGACACAGCAGTGATCAACTTGCAAGAGATGTGGACATCTTGCTGCTTGGTGTTGAACCTCAGTCTAATGTGATGAACAACAATAAAGCAACAACATTTCCTTTTCTCTGAGGCCATAATTTGGAACGAAGAAAATGTGCAATGCATCGCAATGGACTCGTCTCCATGTATCACATAGAATGGGAAGAGCCACAAAAGCTCTCAGCAGGGGATGCTGATTGACTCGCATTGAATTCTTTCTCTCTGAGAGTCCTCATATATGTCTGGCGTTTCATGACACCACTGCCAGCTGGCCTGGCGATCTGTTTGTACCTTTGAGAAACGGATTGTCGGGCTGCCCCCAGGTCTACATTCTACTGCACTGAGTGCTCTTCCGGATTGCGCCAGTCACCTGGTACACTGTTCCGACGCCCTGAGCCTTAACTCTGCCATCAGTGACTTACACACCATCTGTCTCCATGTGGAACAGAGTTTCACCTACATTTGGCCCAGGAGGGGGTATGCAATGTTGTGCACTTGCTTTATGACACGTTGCTGTCAACACATGCATAGTTTCAAGGACAAGTCTGGGAGGAGCCGATATTAGGTGTCCCACTCGCCACCCGCTTCGAATCGGATCGAGCTGCAGCGTTTCGTCGATTCTCATCTGATTCGTTCTTCTAACAAAGGGACATCAAGGGGACTCCCCGGACTGGGCCCCCAAACAAGCACGACGAAATCCTGAACTAAAGACAACGATGGATGCCTCGGCCGAAAGGTCGTCCAAAGGGGACGCTGCTCCAAGGACGGACAGCCGGGCGCCCGCCGCACATTGGATGCGCGTTGCACCACGGCGGCCACATCGGCACGTCAGGCCCTCCCTTCTTTCATCGAACTCTCCGCCAAAGACTCGATCGACAGGCGTCACCCCCTTACCACCATGAGACAAGAGCGGGTCGGCCTCCGAGTCCGTGTCCCGCTGGGAACCCCTGCACCCCTGCCAAAGACCTTTCGCCGACAAATGCCAAAGCGTGCCATAAGCAAGCCATTCCCCTCCGAAACACGCATTCCCGCGAGACCGATTGCCACACCGCGAAGGACATCTTCGGCACTCTCACAACGCGACGCGCAACGCAACGCACCGCTCTTCGACCCAACCCCCCCGTTGCCTCCGCGTCGGGAAAGTGCGCCATCTGGCTCGAGTAGCGGCCCATCAGGAAGGCTAGCGCGCAGAGGCCCAGCAGCGCGGGCACCCAGGGCCTTTATAGACCTCTATAGAGGTGTTGGGTTTGAGCGGGATGCCGCAGCCACCGATCGGGCAGCGCCGGCGGCGTCGACTGCCGGTGGTGGCCGGGGGAACGGTGTCCAAAGAACGGGCGCCTTCGAGGGTGAAGGAGGGAGGGGCAACGTGTGAAGCAGCTACCGAGTGCAGCGGGGCATTCCCTGCAAACAAATTTTGCTCCGTGTTGGCTGTGGACGACCGGCATTCTTTCGCCTGACTTGAAGAAAGTCAGGCGAGAGAATTATAATGGGCGAATGACAAAAGGGAGTCCTCTATGACAAAAGGGGGTCCTCTGCGGGGGTGCATTTGACAAAAGGGGGTCATCTGACCGCCCCCTGTACATTAGGCGTGTTGCCAGACCGGCACCAGACCGGCGCCGATATGCAAGCCAGTCCTAGTAAAGGTGACCCCGCGGAGGAACCCCTTTTGTCAATTTTCCTCTTGGGGGTATTGTAGGGGTATGTGGGGACTTCTCGATTCCATTTAAACGCCAATCCCCCCCCACCGCACCCCCCAACCCTTGGTGCCTCAATTAAATGCAATTGGTCTACATTAAAATACATGAATCATTATGAGCAATGACATTATTGTGTCAGTATGGCATGGTTCCTAGGCTCAAGGGTCATTTTTCCAAGTAGATGTTGCCAATGACTTCACTTTACAGACAGTCAGCAGCCATGCCAGGATCCACCATAACCGTCCCACACAACTCGATTCACATTCACAACCACATGGTTTGCTACAATTTTTTGGCCACTGGAAATGGTCCGTGGACTGCCACCGAACCAGGAACAAATAAAGTGAAGGCATTGTGAGTCAGCATTAGTACGGATGCCACAAACATTTTCACAGATCGTCAACAACCATCATACTAACTTTTATACTAAAACCATTATAATTCTATGCCTCTCTAAGTCATCATATATGATTATATAAATGGATCGGGCATCAGGGGAAGGGAGCAACGAGAGTTGCATGTGCGCTCTGCAAGTGCACTGCAGTTGCGTATGAGATGTGTTTGCACTGCAATTGTGCAGCAACAGTGGACGAGTGCCACCCGCCGACATCGGAGCACTACGAATCGCAGTGTTGAATCGCAATCTGCGATGCTTGTTGTCCAGTGAAAGATGCGCATACTAAATCAAAGTGGTGCCACACCCTGACACTCAAAGCAGATGATAGCTGCACCCTGGCGTCATTCTACATCAAGAGTGCCTGGCCTAGGGATAGCCCCACTGATGCGCACGGAGGCGAAGTCAGGAGGCGAGAAACAACTTTTGCAGAAGATGTTCGTCACACCGGAAGCCACATGTTAAAACTGCCGTTAGTCATGAGCACCGGTACATCAAGGGCGGGCTCATGTCCAACATAGGGCAGCTGACTGGGCCACTATCAAACAGCCAGTCAGGGTGAAAGTGAAAAGAAAAGAGAAGCCAACAAAGAAAAGAACAGATATGTGTTCATAAAAAGAACAAGAGAAAGCTATTATGCAAACGGCATTATTAAGAAAACATCAGATGTTTGATCTGCCTTTATGATTTATGGTGCCTAACACGCTGCCTGGGCGAGGGCTGTCGAAGGAAGACTGAGAAAACAATGGGCTGTGATCTACATAAGTATCTGACCAAGAAAGGATAAGCAGCTGCATGCATAGAACGCCTTGAAACGTGTAGCCCAGGGATGTCGACGGGACACATGGGCAAGAGCTGGATAGGAGAAGCATACATAAGAGGAGCTGCTATAGATTACAAGGAACTGGATAACCAGAAGTCGAGTTCACTAACAAGGCGAGACGAATAGAATGGTTGAAGAAACAGCAACTGAAGCATGGACAATGTTTGAAGATGAAAAGGAAAGAAACATAAGGTTGCGCCACTGGAGTTTATGCACAACTCAGTCTGAAGGACTGCAGCTTGACATGATTGAATACGAATGGACATAATGAAAATATTGATCCTAGTATAAGGTGTTGAAGTACAATAACCCTAATATGAGCTGACATGATTGCTGGACCTGAAGTCAATGCGACCACAGAACTCAAAGGTTTGCTGCTGTGAATATTCGCTGATAGGAAGAA